TATTTATTTTTCATTTTTTGGTTTTTTGAGACAGGGTCTCACTATATAGTTAAGACTGACCTGGAACTCACTATGTACCCCAGGCTGGTCTTGAACTCAAGCAGTCCTCCTGCCTCAGCTTCCTGAGTGCTGGGAATACAGGCCTGCGCCATCACATGATGTATGTTAATTAAAAATGAAATAATTAAAATCCTCAGGTAGATAACAGCATGAAAATGTGAAGCTTTCAGTGGAGGCTATTTAACTTGAAATTTGACGGTGAAATTTGAGACTGAATAACAACTAAGATTTATTGAGCATCTACAAATCAGGCTTTGGATCAGGGGCATAAGTCATTTCATTTCTATTTATTTCAACCACGCTGTGTGGTAAGTATTACACTCATCTAACAGGTTTCAAAATTGTGAGTCAGTGTCAAACTGTTAATATGCAGCAAATGGTAAGGTGTAAGTTAGCAAAGCACGTCAGTTTTCCAAACGAGCTTCACAACACCCTTGGAGAACCGCAGGACTAACATCCGTTAGTTCTATTTTAAGAATGAGGAAAGGGCACCCAGAGCAGTTAAGCCACTTCTAAAAAGTTTACAATGAGTATTTGCAAACAAGTTACATATTGGAATTTCTATACACCGTGACTCCAATCACTGAAAGTGTGATCTCAGATAAGTCATTTTATTAGATGGCAAACCATTCATGCCACGTTTACTTAATGAAAGTCTCTCCTTCGCTCATCTTCCATGCAAACTCTATCACATGTCAAAGTTTGACATGCAGTGGGGGTTTTCCAGCTTTCTGTTCTACAGGTAGATTTGTTCATCCTTATGACTGTGACAGTTTCGTAATGCATAGCATGTCTTGTCAGAATCATATCTCTCCTTGAGACTGCCTTTCAAGTTTTAAACTTAGCTTTCCAAAGTTGCATATAAATGCTGCAGAGATTTTGCTGGAGTTATTGTGAATATTCAATGGAAAAATTGAAGATAATTCACATTTTCACAATGTTAAATGTTTTCAAACCATGAGTTTGTCCCATCTCTTCATTTATTTAGATGTTCTTTAATGTCATTAAAATGTGCTTTTATTTATAAGGTTATAGACATATCTTTTTTCAGCTTTAATTGAGTTTATTGGTACATTTTAGGGATACAGTACAGTTACATGCATTGTTGGGATCTTGTACCTCTACATGACAAGTCTTGGTTCTCATTTTTCCCCCTGTCTCTGCCCTCCCTTCACCCCCTCCTCCCCTCCCCATCTACAAACAATTTATTTCCATCTTTTCATTCTCTCACATTTTTTTCTTTTCCCTTATTACCCTTCCCCTACCCATCCCACCTTCCCTACACCTTTAGCTCCTTTCTTCCCATTTCTAAATGTCAGTAATCTTATTAGGATCTTCTGTATTATTGCAGATTATTCACACCAGAGAAACTATTCGGTATTTACACATGTGTGCCTTATTTATTTCACTTAGGAGTATATCTTCAGTATGTATACATTTTCCTATGAATGAATCTATTTTCTCGTTCTTTATGGCTGAGTAATATTCCATTTTATAGAAAAACCACATCTTCTTTATCCAGTTTCCAACGGATGGGCAAATGGGCTGTTTCCAAGTTTTAGCTATTACAAACTGTGCCACTATAAACATGGGTGCGCATACTTCTCTGTGATATGATTCTTTTAGTTCTTTTGGAAAGATACCCAGCAGAGGGATGGCTGGGTCAAATGGAACCTCCAGTCCAAGCTCTTTGAGGTATCTCCATGTTGATATCCATAGTGGTTGCACCAGTCTGCATTCCCACCAACAATGGCGGAGGGTTCCTTTCTCCCCACAACCCTGCCAACACTTGTTATTGTGTGATTTCTTGATAGCAGCCATTCTTTGTGGGGTGAGGTGGAATCTCAGTGTTGTTTTCATCTGCATCTCTCGAATGATCAGTGATGTGGAACATTTTCTCATATATTTACTTGATGCTTTTACTTCTTTGTCTGAGAAATGTCTGTTCATTTCAGATCCCCATTTTTGAATGGGGTCTTTATATTTGGGGGGGCTGATTGTTTTGAGTTCTTTATATATTCTTGATAATAGTCCTTTGTCTGAGGAACAGCTGTTAAAATTTTTTTCCCACATTGTAGATTGTCTCTTAGTTCTGCTGATGGTTTCTTTTGAAGTACAGAAGCTTTTTAATAAGATGAGATAACAGTTGTTGATTCTATCTGCTAGTTCCTGTGCTACTGAGGATTTGTTCAAAAAGTCTTTTCCTATGCCAATGTCTTCTAGAGTTCTGCCTAACTTACCTTCCAGTAAGTTTAATGTTTCTGTTTTAATATTTAGATCTTTAATCCATTTGGATTTTAATTTAGTGCATTGTGAAAGATAAGGGTCTAGTTTTAATCTGCGGCAGGTTGACATCCAGTTTTTCCAACACCATTTATTAAAGAGGCTATCTTTCCTCTACTGAGGATGGTCAGCTCCTTTGTCAAAGATGAGGTAGCTGAGTACATCTGGATTTGTTTTTGTGTCTTCCAGTCTGTTCCACTGATCCTCAGGCCTGTTTCTTTGCCAGTACCATGCTGTTTTTATCACAGTGGCTTTGTAGTATTGTTTCAAATTGGGTATTGTTATACCCGGTGCCATGTGTCTGTTGCCTAAAATGGCTTTTGCTATTCTAGGTCTCTTATGGTTCCAAATGAATTTTTGGATTCTTTTTTCTAGTTCTGTGAAATATAGTGTTGGAATTTCAATTGGCACTGCATTGAATGTATATAGAAGTTTTGGTAGTATGGCCATTTTCACTATGTTGATTCTTCCTACCCAGGAGCAGGGGATATCTTTTCATTTTTTAATATCCTCTTCAATTTCTTTTTTCAGAATGCTGTAGTTTTCAGTGTAGAGGTCTTTTGCTTCTTTTGTTAGATGGATTCCTAGATACTTCATTTTTTTGGATGCTATTGTAAAAGGAATTTTTTCCCTTATTTCTCTCTCAGTGAGTCTGTTATTTGTGTAAAAGAAGGCTATTGATTTTTGGGTGTTCACCTTGTATCCAGATACTCTACTGAATCTGTCAATTAAGTCTAGAAGTCTTTTGGTAGAGTTTTTTTGGTCTTCAATGTAGAGTATCATATCAGCAAATAATGACAGTTTAACTTCTTCATTTCCTATCTTTATTCTTTAATTTCTTTCTCTTGTCTAATTGCTGTGGCTAATGTTTACAGAACTATATTAAAGAGGAGTAGTGATAATGGGCATCCTTGTCTTGTTCCTGATTTTAACATGAAGGTTTTCAGTTTTTGGCCATTTAATATGATGTTGGCAGTTGGTTTTTCATAGATAGCCTTTATTAAGTTGAAGTATAGACCATCTATTCCAATTTTTTGCAGGGTTTTTTTTAATCATGAATGGGTGTTGAATTTTATCAAATGCTTTTTCTGCATCTATTGAGAGGATCATATGGTTTTGTCCTTGACTTTGTTAATATAATGTATTATATTTATTGATTTTCGTATGTTGAACCACCCTTCCATCTCTGGAATAAATCTGACTTGGCCAGGATGGATGATCTTCTTGATAATCCTCTGTATTTTGTTTGCTAGTATCTTATTAAGAATTTTTGCATCTATCTTTATTAAGGAGATTGGTCTGTAGTTGTCCTTTTTAGTTGCAGCTTTCCCTGGTTTGGGAATCAAAGTGATACTTGCTTCCAGGAATGAATTTGGAAGTACAGCTTCCCTTTCAATTTCATTGAAAAGTTTGAAGAGTAATGGCAGTAGTTCTTCTCTAAATATCTTGTAAAATTCAGCAGCGAATCCATCAGGGCCTGGGCTTTTCTTTGTTGGTAAATTTTTAATTACACTTTCAATTTCACCGACTGTAATTGGGGTGTTTAAAATATTTTTATCTTCTTTGTTCAACTTTGGTAATTCGTAAGTATCAAAAAACCTGTCCATTTCTTCTGTGTTTTCCAGTTTATTGGAGTACAGGTTCTCAAAGTAGGTATTCATGATCTTCTGGATTTCTTTTGGATCTGTTGTGACTTCGCCTTTTTCATTCCTAATTGCATGGATCTGAGCCTTTTCTTTCCTTTTTTGGATAAGATTAGCTAAGGGTTTGTCAATTTTATTTATTCTTTCAAAAAACCAGGGCTTTGTTTCATTTATTTTTTGTATCATTTTATTAGTTTCAATTGCATTGATTTCTGCTCGGAACTTTATAATTTCCTCTCTTATTCAAGCTTTGGGTTTTTCTTGCTCTTGTTTTTCTAGGAGTCTAAGTTTCATCATTAAATTGTTTATTTGAGCCCGCTCTGTTTTCCTAGTGTGGGGATTCAATGTTATGAATTTTCCACGTAGAACTGCTTTCATTGTGTCCCATAGATTCCAGTATGTTGTATTGGCATTTTCATTTATTTGTAAAAACTGTCTAATTTCTTCTTTAATATCCTCTGTAATCCATTGAGTGTTTAGGAGAGTGCTGTTCAGTTTCCATATGATTGTGAAGTTGCTACAGTTTCTTGTGCTTTTGATCTCCAGCTTGATTGCACTATGATCTGATGATATACAGGGGATGACTTCAATTCTTTTGCATTTATTTAGATTTGTTCTGTGGGCCAATATGTGGTCTATCTTGGAAAATGATCCACGTGCATCCGAAAAAGAATGTATATTCTGATTTTTGGGGGTGGAATACTCTGTAAACATCTATTAAGTCCATGTGTTCCAAAGCTTGGTTCAGTTCTATTATTTCATTGTTGATTTTCTGCCTAGATGATCTGTCAATTTGTGATAGTGGGGTATTTAAATCCCTCACTACAATTGTATTAGTGCTTATTTGGTTTTTCATGTTACTTAATATTTGTTTTATATAGTTGGGGGCATTTATATTTGGTGCATATATGTTTATGATTGTCAACTCTTCCTCTTGAATTGTTCCCTTTACAAGGATGTAGTGTCCTTCTTTGTCTCTCTTAATGAGTTTTGGTTTGAAATTTACTTTACCTGAGAATAAGATTGCTACCCCTGCTTTTTTCTGGGATCCTGATGCATGGAGGATTGTTTTCCATCCTTTCACTTTCAGTCTATGGGCTTCCTTTTGCACTAGGTGTGTTTCTTGTATACAACATATTGTTGGATTTTGCTGCTTAATCCATTCTGCCAATCTATTTCTCTTGATTGGTGAATTGAGGCCATTAACATTGATAGTTATAACTGATATGTTCTGACTTATTCTTGTCATGTTATTGTCCTTTTGTTGACTCTTTTTTAACTTTTTCTCCCATCTCCTTTTAGTTTCTTGCCTTGCCTATTTGATTTGGTCTGTTGGGCCTCATGTTATTGTGAACTTCGTTGTCCTTTTCTAGGATATTGTTTAGAATTCCTTGCAGTGCTGGTTTGGTGTTCATGAAATTTCTCAGGTGCTCTTTGTCGTGGAAGTATTTTATTTCCCCATCTATTTTGAAAGAGAGTTTTGCAGGATACATCAGTCTAGGTTGGAGGTTCTTTTCTTTTAGGACTTGGAATACCTCACTCCAGGCTCTCCTTGACCTAAGGGTTTGTGTTGAAAAGTCTGCTGTGATTCTAATGGGCTTTCCTTTGCATGTGATTTGTTTCTTTTCTCTTACTGCTTGTAGTATTTTGTTTTTCTGTTGGATTTCTGGGATCTTGATTATTATATGTCTAGGTGTAGATTTTTTTTTGATCGTGGCTAGTTGGAGTTCTATATGCCTCGCTTATCTGTATGCCTAATTCTTCCCTTCTGTTTGGGAAGTTTTCTGTCATTAATTCTGTGAAGAGCTTTTTTAGGTCATTTATATTTTCTCCTGCTTTTTCATGAATTCCTATCAGTCTTATGTTATTTTTCTTTGCATCATCTAGAAGTTGTTGGATTGATTTCTCATGAGCCTTTACTGTTTTTGAGAGACCTCTTTTTTCATGGTCACTGACTGCGATCCTATCTTCTATATCTGAAATTCTATCTTAGCAATCTTTTATTCTGTTGTGCACACTTTCAATAGAGTTTTTAATCTCCTGAATATCTGTTTGAATCTGTTTTATGGATTCCATTTCTTTCCTCTGTTGGGCATTCATTGTTTCCATTTCTTTCTTATGCTGAGTCTTCATGGCTTCTATCATGGTCTTGAGCTCATCTATTTTTTTGTCAGTTTCTGCTCTAGAGTCTCAAATCATGACTTCCATTTTGCTCATCATCTCTATGTTAACTGGGAAATTATTTCTGATTTGAATTTTTCTAGAGCCTGATTGATCTGTTTTGTTACTTCCTGTGCTATGGGTCCAGGGTGTCCTGTTGGTTCACTATCAGACTTTTCATCCTCATTTGTCCTACTGTTTGCCATTGGTGAACTGGAAATGTGTCTTTGTGTCTTGCTTAGGTGTTTTCTCATTTTTATTTTTGTTGTTGGGTTGTCCTTCTTTAATTTCTGGGTATTACTTAAATCTTCCTGATATAGTTGCATTTTCGCTTTTGAATTTCTAATGACTCATAGACATCCTCATTTTCATAATATCAGAGAAAACACTCATTAAATCAATCACAATCCTTTATCCGAATTGATACATTCAGCAGCCCAATAGGATCAAGCACAGCTTGCAAACTGACCACTTGTGGTAGTCATTAATCTATCACATTTAAACCATGTGAATTAAATTAATATCAAGAAACAGCCCAAAATATGTTTGCAGTGAATATGCTTTTCAATATAGCATCTTTATGATTTAGGATGGGGGGTTAGACTGAGTTAGTATGAGAGGAGTAGATAAGTGAAAGAACTGGAGCAGGTTTGATGTGAAACCAGAGGATGTAGAATGACCTTACTATCTGTATGAAGCTATTAACTTCAGAGGGGATAGAGTGCAGGAATGAGGACAAGAATATATCCCCTTAACAGTAACAGGTGCTTGCCTTCCCTTGAAGCTACAGAGCCACGAGTGAGGTAAAATGACTGGAGAAAAGAACATAAAGAAAAAAACAAAAAACAACAACAAAAACACTCCCTCCCAAAAGGAAAAATAATAAAAGAAGTCTGAGTTAGGGCAGAAGGAGGAATAAAAAGGGAGATGAGGGATAATATGGTGGAGCAAGAGACTGAGTTGGAGAGAGAGGACAGAAAAAAGAAAGAAATTTTAGGGTGGAATGAGAAAATGAAAGAAAGAAAAAAAGAATTTGAAGGGCCTCTTTCAGACTATGTCTCTGTTGTCATATTATACCACATGTACAGCTATATGCAGAACTGAATCCCCTGGTCTCAGCTAGCCAATGGCAGGTCCCCACAATTGAGACTGACCTCACTCCACAAGGCCTAACTTGAGTTTCCCAACCTGCAGGGTTGAACTCCACTCAGGTCTATTACAGGCTTCCCCTGCCCTTTCTTTAAAGATGTTCAAAGTTGGGAGCTCAGAAAACTACCCTTCATGAGAACCTAGGCCTCTGCAGAGTTGGTCCAAGGACTGGCCCAATCAGGAGGTTTGAGAATGGGGGGGAGCAGGTCGTGGGGGTGTTTCAAGGGTGCCCGTGTGGCTACCTTACTTACTGGATCTGGTGCCGTGCAGTCCGGGAGGTTGCGCACCAGCCGGGTGGTCCTGGGCAGGCAGCCGGAGAGACCTTAGACGTATCTTTCTTTTAGATTTAGAGTAATGCCTCAGTTGACAAACTCTGTTCTCAAACAATTTGGTTTTCAAGCAGAAGACTTTGGCAAAATTCTGCTTCCCTTGGGGAACTCATCTTGGGGGATGAACGCTACAGAGTGTCTTCCTCTGAATTATGGAACAAATTAAGTCACAGAGTCATCGCTGCATTCTGAAGTACATTTTCATGTTATGAATGTTGTCTCTTTCTAAATTGTGTCTTTCAATTTTTCTAACATAGAAAATGACATTAATATTTTACAATAATAAAAATAACCATTAACTTGTAAGCTTATCTTATACTTGCATATTGCTATAGGAGCAATGTACAGTGCCATCAGGATAATATTTACCTGAAGAATCTTTTCTGTTGCTTTCCTGTTCTCTCAGTACAGTCTGCAGTGCATAATGTTTACACTCCTTGTGTGGAGTTGGCATGTGTACAGAGCACATCTTCATTCTTCTTTTCTTCCCATCCCTCCATCTCTTGATCTCCTGTCCAGTTGAGAAGGATCTATTTCCCTATTTGCTATTATCTATCTTTTATTTTACTCTTTATTTATAATTTAAGTTTCTTATATAAAAGAAACCATGCAGTAGTTAAGCTTGTGTGCCTGATCCTTTTGCTGTACATAATACTTTATAAACAGCATATATTTAGATTTTTAAAATAGAATCTCTTGAGCTATGGCATTTTAAATTTTTGTATAATCTTTTAATGCTCTGCATTTTTGCAGCAGCATTATTATTTATTTTTTCCTGGTACCAGGGATGAAACTCAGGATCTTGCACTTGTGAGGCAGGCTCAGAGCTACTACATGTAATGCTCTGTATTTCAAAAATTAATTTTAGTGGTACCGTTTAGATATACATAATGATCACATTCATCATGGGGAATTTGTACCTGTACATGATAAATCTGGATTCCTCTTTTTTCCCCATTCCCCTCCCCTCCATTCAACCCTTCTTCCTCTTGTTATTTACAAAAATTTCTTTCCATTTTATCCTTCTTTCCAATTTTTTTCTTTTCCCTTCCTTCCTTTCCCCTCTCCCCTTCTTAGTTCCCCTTTACTTATGAACAATTTCTTCCTATTTCACAATATGTATTATACATTTTCGTCCTTGTTTACACTTTCAGTTTCTCACACCACAGAGATAATATGATATTTAACACATGTGCCTAATTTTTCACTTGAGTATGATTTCGAGGTATATGCCAGAAATGTCTCAAGTTTACCTTTCTTTATGGCTGAGTACTACTCCACATATATAAAAAACATACCTTTTTTATCCATTCATTGGTTGATGAGCATTTGGGTTGTTTCCATGATTTAGCTATTACAAATTGTTCTTCTATAAACATGGGTGGGTGTGCATGTATTGCTGTGGGATGATCATTTTAATTCTTTTGGGAAGATGCCAAGAAGGAGGATAGCTAGATCAACTGGGACCTCTAATCTTAGTCTTTGGAGGAATCCCCCACACTGATTTCCACAGTGATTGCACCAGTCTGCGCTCCCCCTTTCCCCCTCAGATGCTCTAGGAGACATGCACTAGAGGCAGAGATTAAAATAAGCAACAACATGACCCAGGTAGAACTAGGCATTATAGATATTTGATTCTAAAGAAGAGACAAAAATACATTAAAAATAGAGCTGCAGCCAATGTGCTCTAAGAGAGATGGCAGAGGTTGTAGTTTTCTTCCTTATGGTCCTCAGGCCAAAGAGGGCTGCAGGGTCAGGGGAGCACATGGGCAATGTACTCAGGGCTCAAGGCCAGCTCTGTACACCGAGTGGAGAATGCGTGCTCTTTGCTCTTGGATCACCTGAGCTCCTGGGAGTCTTCGGCAATGTTCAGTGCTTGACAGCGGTCTTTTCTGAGGCTGTAAAGAGTTCTTATACTCAGCTCTTCCCAGCTGCTTCTATTCCTAGTTCCTCTCCTTACGTGATTGCTCTCAGTCCCTCAGTTATTGTTTGGGAAATTTGCTGAACTCATTCTTATAAAATCCACCACTTTGTCTTCCATTTTGTTTGAGCATTGCATGTTGGTTTATCTTCCTGCCAATGGGAGGTAAGAGTAAGGTGAAGGCTGATAAAGCCAGTGACTTTGACACAGACCTGTCAAGGGGGCTCACATCCTTGTTCCCAGCTCCTCCATCTCCTTGTGCCTCCATCTCCACATCTGTCAAATGGGAATAATAGCAGTAGTTGCCTCCTTGAGGTCATAAGAGGATCTGAGAAGTTACACCTGAGAATCACTTAAAAGCTTCTACTGTGCTTGCTGAAGTGTATTAGTCTCCTTCCCAAGCTGGAAATCACACAAGCGTGTGTTCCATCATTGTATCCTTGGCTTAATGTCAAAGTGGACAGTTTCTGTTTCTCCCCGCTTCTCTAAAACCAACCTCACTCAAAATCACCTGGACGATATGGGTGTGTTTATATCAATGCTTCAGAGAAAATCACTTTATGAAATCCCCATGAGATATTTCTATGCCTTGATTCTCTGCTCTGACCAATTAACATTTCTCTCCATCTTTCCACTTCTGTTAGTTTCCTCAAAAGTGCAAGAAATTCAGTTCATTTCCTATTTTTCTCTCCTAAAACATGCCCTTAGATGCTCAGTAAATCCAGACACTGCTGTCCTTGACATGGAGACATAACAGTGCCCATCATTAGCCATCTCTGCAGGCAGAAGTTATTCCTTCCAACACATCAGAGTGCCCTACACAGGGAATGAAATTATCTCCATTTTAAACAGAAATTTTCTCCACTTTTAAAAATGTGTGTTTTCTGGTGACTAATTCCTTGAAAAATGTTTGTGTGACAGTAGCCTCAAATGTTCCACTACCTTTAGGCTCTCTATTCATTCATTAATTTTTTTTAATTACACATTCGTGGCTGCTCGCTGTTATCCTCACATGGAGATGGGCACTGGGCATGCATGATGGACTAAAGCAAAGGGCTTCCTGTCCTCCTGAGTCTGGATCAACTGAGCCATTTGGTCCATTTGCTCATCTTCATGGTTGTTCTAGCTAAGATCACATCCTCTTCTTGATTCTAAATCATGATCTTTTTCCTCCATACTGAGTGGACCCTGATCAGTTACTGAGGGTGTCCATGGGTCATAACTGGGACTTCCAACTTCCTGCCCCCTAGAGGAAACTACTGTTGCAGGACAGAAGGGATGCTGAGCCTAGAGTCCTATCATTGTCCCACAGGGACTGCCCAAACTTGTCTCTGGTCTTCATGAGGAATAAAATGGCCTAGAATAATGACTAGGGATGCTGAGGTCATCAAATATCCCAGCGTCTTTGGAGGACCCAAGTTTCATTACAGGAAGCTCAGACCTTGGAACCAGCAGGAACTGGATTTGCATCGAAGTTCCATGACTTCCCTATGTCTGATAAATAAATGCTGCTAAGCCTCTGTTTCCTCCCTTATAACACAGGGACAGCAATTCCCATATACAGCAGGTTAGCTCTGAGACCCAGAGAGCATAGACCAAGCAGTTCTTCCTTTCTTGTTTGTGTTCCCAGGGGCAGCGGTGGAGTGTGTATGAGCATAGATCCAATTGTCACCCCTGGAGGACAGATGCCACAGCAATGAATTGAAGTCACCAGGTTCTTCCTCCAATGTGTGACAAGAAGACCCTGATCCTGGGCATGGTGAACCTCTTTACTGCCCTAGCCAGGCTGGCAGGAGCTGTGGGTGTGCACTGGCTCCGGGCCTTCTATATGTTCCCGCACACCATGTCTGTCCACATCCTCAGCTAGGGTCTAGCTCTGCCACCACATTATCGGGTCTGAGGCAGAATTCCTCATCATCTTGTAGAGCATTTCCATCTGCATCTCTGGCTTTTCACCACTGTGCTAGCCCTAGCACTACCGCTGAGGATCTTGGAAGGGGAACTTGTGGCTTCCTGTTTAAGGACTATAGTAAGTATGACTGGGGTTTTGGTTTTCTCACTACTGCATGGCTGACCATCCTTTTTGTGATGTTCTCTGGGTCAAGATCTTCTGTGACTCCTACAGGCTGCCACTGACCAGTTTGTGATCACAGTCTCCCTCCTCTTCAGCCTGCTCTTCGGGATCCACTCACTCCTTCCCTGTGGATTGAAAGGTTTCCCGCTCTCCCTTGTCATCTTTATCCAGGAGCCCTTGACCTGTCCTTTTTAACAGCTGCTCCAAGCCCATCATGACTTCTCTGTTGGTTCTTCTAGGTATCAGCCACAGCCGATGGCTCTCAGACCGATTCTGCAGAGGGAGGTTGAATGCAGGGACAGGGTTTCCTCAGGGGATCTTAGGGAGCTGAAAACGGTGTGGTGCAGCACTGGAAAGCCTCTGCTTTGGTCAGGCTGGAGAGCCTATTTGGCTGTGTCAGTGGGTCTCCTGACCTTAGGACGGTTAAGATAGTAATCATCCTTGTGAGGATTAAGTGAGGCGGGGCTGTTGAACAACGGCTGATTGCAGTGTCTCCAGAACAGCCTTATCGGGGACTTCATCCCATTCTCCTGGGTCCACCGCTATTCAGGCTTTTGACAAAAGGCTTCTCCAGCATAAGGCTGAAAGCAGTGCAGGGAAGTCTCAAGTCCTTTGACTGCTGGACTGGAAAAGGACTAAAACAATTTAAGTTTTTGATTACCTTCTATTTTTGTTCCATGTATTTTTGTCTCAATAATAATCAAAGAATTAAATAGATTTGCCCCACAATGCCAATCTCCTTTAATTTGGCATGTCTTTATGTATTTCACTAGCTTGATAAATGTTCATCGCATGAATGACTTAATGGATGAATGTATCTGATGCATTTCTAAGTTAAGTCTGCATTAAATCTCTAGTTAGCTGATTTTAATCAGTATATGCTATTCATTGCTTTCATCATTTTCCACTTTGGCAAATAAGTATGCAGGTAAGTTTTATGACCAAATAAATCAATGTCTCTATATATTTAAGGTTCAAAGCATAGTGTCTGTGAGTATAATCCCAATAAAGATGCGGAAATTTAAGACCTCTGGAAATTCCTTGCCCCACCAGTCGTTCCTGATCTCCCCAGAGGAAACCATATTTTCCATTCATATCATCAAACATTAATCTGCCTGATGTTTGCCTCATATGTTTAGAATCATTTGTGGGGTTTTCAAGTTCTTAGATTTTTGAGCCCTATCATATTTTTCGGACTTATTCTTGACGTCTCATTCCTTATACCAACATTTAAACTATCGTTATTTTGATGGATGTATATTTGCCTTCAAGTTTCCACGGTTACAAACTCATCCTCTGTGAACTTTCCCATTGAAGGACTTCTGCAGTACATTTTCATTGTCTATGATAAATAATCTAGAGTAAAATTGCTGGGTCATAGGAAGATGAATGCGTAACTATTGAAGCAACTGCCCAACCAGTTGTTCTATATCATGTTTCCACCAGCAGTGCATGAGGCTTGCAGTTGCTGTGCGTGGACCCAGCAAACAGGGAAATTCCTCCTGTGATTTAACCATCGCAATGAGTATAAAATATATTCCACTCTGCTTTCATTTTCATTTTTCTAATAACTAAGCAGCTTTTGATATATTTATGGAATGCTGATAATTGCTTCTGAAGCGTTGCTTTATGTTTTTATTATTGATTTTTTTCACCTATTTGCGGAAATGTTTATATATGCTGGATATAAGTCTTTTGAGAGTTATATGCATTTTTAATATTTATCAGGGTGATATTTTGGTAATTCATTAATAAACCATTTTAGTACAGTTTAGATTTACATAAACAGCACAGAGATTTCTCCCGTTCTTCTTCCCTATTACTGTTTTAACATTTTATGTTGGTGTGGTATATTTATGCTTTGCAATACTACCACACCAGCATAACCTAAAGCCTGTCGTTATACCATTTGGATTAACTCTTACAAATCAGTGTTTTTTTGTCCAAAGGAGACTGATACAAATCTACCATTTCAATGCCCTAAAGTATCTTCTAGTCTGTTCTAGTATCTTCTACCTCTGTCCCATCAGAATTCCATGAAATCACTGGTTTTGTCTTTTCCAGGAATTTATTTATTGTAATCATACAGTAAATAACCCTTGTAGACTCCCCTCTTTCTTCAGCAGTGCAAATTTAAGAGTCTTCCATGTCCTTTCATACCTCATTTTTCACTGATGACGATGCTTCATTTTATGATTATTCTGTACTTTATTCCTCTGCCTATTGAAAATTTGGTTGACTCTAAGTTTTGAAAATGATGGACCAAAGCTACTACAAACCTTGTGTACACAATTTGGTGCAGGCACAACTTTTCAGTCCATTTGAATAAGTTCCTAGGAGCATGGCTGGTGAAGCGATGCTAAGCCTGTGTTTAGTATTACGAGAAACTTCCAAACTGTTTTCTAAAGCTGGGTACCATTCTAGGTTCCCATAGCAACGTGTGAGAGCTCCTGTTGCTGCACATCCTGAGCAGAATTTAGTGTTGCCAGTGTTCTGGAATTCTGGCCATTCTATTAGGTTGGTTGTGATAGCTCATTGGAACTGTTTACTTGCTATTCTATGATCACAATAAACACGTTCTCTATGCTTATTTGTTGTCTGTGTGTCTTCTTTTATGAAGATTCGGTTAAAACGTTTTCCTCAAATTTGAGCTGGTTGTTTTTTAATTGTTGCAATATAAGAATCATTTGTTCATTTGCATACAAGGGAGGGAGGGGACTTTTCCAGGCCACGCCCCCAGTGACCCACCTCCTGACCCCAGGCTTCACCTCCCACCACCACATTTAGCTGTAAGCTCATATGTAGACTGATACACTGGTGAGTATCACACCCTGGGACCCAGTCCCTGCCCAAAGCCCTGTTTGTGAGCACACGAGGCTTTGAGGGGACATCTAGATATAGACCATAACAAATAGATAATGGTTTGTTAATGATGAGGGTGGAAACAGATTATTACAATTTATGATAAAGTGAAAACTGTATCTGCTTATCCTGACATTTCTATCATTTTATTCCTTAAATACTTTGTTGTTCTACTGTTACTCACATGCTTGTTAGGATTACCATGTCTTCTTGAGGAACTGAACTATCATCATTTCCTATACTGGACGCTGTTCTCTGATTTGATTTATGTTTTTTATATTCAAATTAATATAGCTGCTCAGCATTTAAAATTTTAATTTATGGTATAGCTTTCTGCATCACTTTATTAAATGTGTTACCTCTTTTTATTTAAAGTAGATTTCTGGCCACAATATATAATTAGGTGTACTTCTGAAAATTCATTGAGTCTCTGCTTTTATGTGATATTTTATAGCAGAGATGGCAAGCATTTTAGAGATGAGTGCTGAAACTGTAACCCAAAACTCATGTATTTACACAGAGTGCCAACAGTGCAATTAAACCTGAACACTGAGGCTTTAATTTAGAAAAATAATCCTCATCTTTAATATATATATTTTAAAAGAAATCAAATTACCCCTGTGCCATAGGTTCACCACCACTCTAGCATTTTTTCTGTCCCAGTATATCCATTTTATATCTTTTCCGAAAATATTTAGGAGTAGACTGGGCGTGGTGGTGCACATGTGTAATCTCTGCACTTGGGAGGCTGAAGCAGGAAGATCACCATGAGTTTGAGGCCAGCCTGGGCTACACAGTGAGTTCAAGGCCAGCCTGAAGGACATAGAAAGACCCTGTCCTAACAAAACAAAACAAAATAAAAAAGAATATATTTAGGAGTAATCACAGAGTATATATTGAAAACTAAGTCAACTTTCAAATAACCACTTCACGGACATTACACCTACTGTGCAACAAAACATTCCCAATTCTTTTATCTGATTTCTTAGAATAACCCTATCATACATTTTTCACATTTACTATTTACTAGCTACAATTATAACTGATGCAGAATTTAAAGAACCACTTAAGTTGCTGATTCTGGATAGCAAAATTCAGGAAGACTTTCACTTTTTTTCATGGTGTTTTTCTGTGTCAGTTGTAAAGAACAGGAAAACAAGGGAGCTTCACTAGCAAGATAAAGAGAAACAGAAGATAACACCCCTGAGAGCTGAAACTGTCAAGTGAAAAGTTGTGTTTTATTGTTAGTTACAAAGGCTCCCTTCAGAAGCCCACATTGTTTGGCATGGTTTGATAACCTACAGCACAACAATCACTGGCAGGGAAGGGAACGGGATGAGGCAGGCATGGGCAGAGTTTGAGAGAAAAGAGTGGGCTCGGACTAGCTATTGAGACACCTCTCATGAGGAGCCTGGCTCAAGGGGCTCCACGCTCACTGCCAGCAGGTCTTAGGACAGGAAATCACAGGGCTGCCGGGCATCTTGATAAGACTGGTTGCAGATCAGTGCTCCTGCCAGCGCCTGCAGGAAACCCTCTAGGGCAGAGCAATGTCCAGAAGAGGGTCAACCCAAAAGACACTTCTCTTCCGCAGAGGTCTCCTTACCAACCCAGTAAGAAGGATGGAGGGAAGGTAAGACTTTACCAAGTCTTTACCTTGAAAGTCTCTGTTGCTTTTTTCCACTTGGTGCAATTCCTTCACTTTTTGCTGAATAGAGCAGCCAGGCAATCACAGGGGCTCTGGCAGGGACAGACAGGAGATGAGAAATTCCCTTCTGGTAACCTTGGGGGCTAGCAGGCCTGACTGTGGAACATTTGAAAGCTGTGACTCATGACTGTTTCCTCCACTTTGACCTTCTTTTCCATATTCAATTCATTCCAATCATTCAAATTTGGCATTGGGAATTCTGCTTTCCTTAATTTCAGATGCAACATAGGCACATGTATGCTTTCCCAAAACAAAGTTCTGTGAGTAAAGCCAGATATTAATGGATTTAAAGAGTTCAATCAAGGGACAACTAGGTAGGCTTAGGACAAGTTATAGAGGGTGGTGAAACATTGTCCACCATGTCAAGCAATGGGAAGTGATAGAGAGATGTTTAGTGTCACTGAATCTTAAAAGATAATAGATTGGAGACATTAGCAGAATTCGGAACTGGCTGAAGCTAAAGCTGTGGTGCTAGGACAGGGCCACCACATAGATGGCATCTGTCCAGGTATGGCAACGCTGCCATTGTCACCTTCCAGTCTAGCTGAGAGGCAGAGAGCCAATGAAAACCTCCCGATTTGCTCTCCTCCTGTTCTCCAGTCTCTTGGCACGACATAACCAGCAGAGAGAGAGAGAGAGAGAGAGAGAGAGAAGGGTATCCACCCCACTGACTGAGCTTAAGTGTCTCCTCTAAGGATGCAGGACAGGGTGGGAAGTGGGGACACGGAATGTTGTTGATTGGGGAAAGTTAATATCTTCCTATAGCTTCCCCATTACTTATATTTCCCGAGACCATCTCTATCTGTGTGATCAGGTCAGTTTCTCACTGTATGTCCTTCTACTTCATTTTACTTCTCATTTATTTTCATCTTTTGATCTAGAATTCTATAACAAAATGCTTTAATTTGGAAAGCAAACCAGTGCATTGAAAGTCACCTGGGTGGGTAATGAACGAGTTTCATGTTACACATCCCACAGGAAATACAGTCAATTACTAACCCAGCTTCCACATTTCACTCCTGATGTTCAGCCCCATTGTGTGTTGTCTCTCTTCTCAAATATTCTTTTTACTCTGCCAGAGTACATAAGATTCTGTTGATCTTGAATCTCAGCCCTAAATTATAGCTATAAACTCTTCTCAATGCTTAGTAAAGCGAGACACAGGTCTGTCTTTTCGTGGCGACATGGCAGTAAACATCAGTGACCATCTCTATTAGGCAGAAGGAATTCTTTACAACACCCCTGCTTTGTCCATTGAAGGAAGTGCTTAGCAGGAATGGCATTTTCTCCATTTCTTTGCATGTCTCTTTCTGGTGACTAATTTCACTTGAGAATTTTTGTGTGACAGTACATGGGACATTCTACCATATTTTTACCAGGACACCCTGATCTGGAGCTTGATGACCCCAATCATTGCCTTAGCTGGGTAGGTAGAAAATACAGTTGTACCCTGGCTCCTGGGCTGCTGCCGGCACAGGAACACACTCACTGTGTCTGTACTCTGCTGGTTGTGACAGAATCTCCTTTCCTTTGCTGCCCCACTATAGTCCCCCTGCTCAATTCCATCATCATCTTCCAGATTGCACCCACAGAAGCTTTATCCATCTGTGACCTTTGCCTGCAACTCGAGCTGAGCACCTTTAGCTACATTAGCACTGACTACTGCCCTCTGCCCTTGACTTGTCTGGTACCGCCTCACAAACACTGACTTTCTGCCTTGCTAGCGCCTTCCATTCCATCTTCTCGCCAAATTGCTCTGGCTAAGACTTACAGAAGTGTGTTGAATCAGAATGAAGGAGGCTGGACAGCCATGTCCTGTGTCAGATGTTACAGAAACGCTCACCTTTCCCTCTTTCATATGATGTTCGAAGTGGATTTGTCACAGATAGCCTTTGTTATACTGAAGTCCATTCTACACCAAAGTTGTTCAGGATACACATAATGAAAGGATGCTGAATTTTATCAAATGCTTTTTATTATTTTTAATTTTTTCTTTTCTATTAATTAAGTTTATTGGTATACTTTAGGTATGCATAATGATCACATTCAGCATAGGTAATTTGTACCTGATTTGTATGTGATATATCTCGATTATTTTTTCCCATTCCCCTAACTTCCCTTTAACCTTTCTCCCTCCCCATTTACAAAAATCTTTGTTTCCATTTTTTCCTTCTTTTCTTATTTATTGTTTGTTTGTTTGGTACCGGCGATTGAACTCAGGTCCTTTTGCTTGCAAAATAGGTGTGGTGCCACTGAGCCAAATCCTGGCCCTCTTTTCTCAGTTTTTCCTTTCCCCCACTTCCCACATTAGTTCCCTGGCCCATTTGAATATTTTCTTCCTATTTAATGATATCTGTTGTACACTTTGGTCCTTCTTTACACTTTCAGTGTCTCACCTCAGAGAAACCATGCAGTGTTTATGTATGTGGGTCCTATTTATTTATTTAAGTGTTGTTGTCTGCGAGCCCACTTGGGGAACAACGTTTGGGAGCTTGGACTGGGAGGGCAAGGTGTGGAATCACCAGGCAGCCTCCACGGAGGTTTCTGGAATGCTTCCGCTTTATTCAGGAAATGCACAGGCTTATTTAGAGACAACCACGGGAGAGGAGCATGGGAGGATCATTTAACATTTGGCGATGTCTTATTGGCCAGACACAGAGGAGTGATTTTTCTTGGGCGAGGCAAAGGAGTCACTGACTACGGGTGGAGGTGTAGCCCATTGGACTTAGCATTTATGTGCTTAGGCAAGTTAGCTCAGCCTTAGCAAGGTCTCTGAGTTAGTTCAGGAGACAGGAGTGTGGTGTAACTGGCCCAGCCAGGCTTGAACTTCTCCAACACTTATGAGTATGCACCTATTTAGGTATAAATGTCTCAAATTTATCCCTTTTTATGGCTGAGTAGTACTGAAGTGTTTAAAAAAAAATCCACATCTTCTTTATCCATTCATCAGTTGATTGGCATTTGGTCTGTTTCTAAGATTTAGCTATTACAAAGTGTGCTACTATAAACATGAGTGTGCATGTGGTCTGATGCTTTTAATTTGGGGGTAAGATACCTGGAGGGGGAATAGCTGGGTCAATTGGAACCTCTGGTACTAGTTTTTTTGTTTCATTTTTCTTTTTTGGTACCAGGGATCAAACTCAGGCCCTTGAACTGGCAAGGCAGGCAGTGGAACCACTGAGCTAAATCCCCAGCTCTGGTCCTATTTTTTTTTTAATAACAAAAGGTTTATTCTGCCAACAAAGGGCCA